CCCCCCCCCTGGGCTACAGTGTGACCTCAGTTTTTGGTCCAGTATAATGATGGAATGGTTCACTCTGTGTGTTTTGTTATCTTTATCAGTCTGTTGGTGACTGTCATTGTTCACAAAACTCTGCATTTTGGAGTCTGTTTGTTGGCTCAGTGGACTTGGCCTGCGGGTGGATGTCCTGCAAGTGTTCACACTGATGCCAATTCAGCACTCAGCTCGAGGGAAGGTACTGAAACATTACCTTCTGTTAAAGGTTACTAAGCTGTGCATTTGAATCCAATCTGAACGTTGTGATGTGGTCACATGTGGCACCATGAACAGGCAGGCAGATGTAGATCCACCGTCCAGCTGCGCAGGACACTTGGAATTTAAGGCATCAGTTCAGTGGACAGCTGGTATACTCGGCTTTCTTTCACTGCAGCCTCTGGTGTTTGTCTCCTCACCGTGCTCTCTGTCTCCACAGGCTTCACTGCTTCACATCTCTGGGATCAGTCGGGTCCTTGTTAAAGCCAACAGCATGTGCACAGTGGGATGAGGTAGTAGGTTGTATAGTTTTAGGGTCATACCCACACTGGGAGATAACTATTCAACCTACTGTCTTTCCCAAAGTGCCAAACAGACATCACAATGGTCCCTGTGTGGATTCCGGAGGTCTTCTCCCTCAGCGGTGTGTTCGTGGATTCAGATGTTGCTCTGTATTCTGCTGCTCGTCCAGTGTGAGGTAGTAGATTGTGTAGTTTTAGGGTAGTGATTTTGCCCTCTTTAGGAGATAACTATACAATCTATTGCCTTCCCTGAAGAGTGGACTCTCTCAAGCTCTCTTTCATCTGTGGAATAATTTTCATAATGTAAGAGTTTTGGTGTTATCGTATTTATGAGGTGTTAACATATATACTCATATTTATATGTTAACACCTCGTATTCCTTATGTTCTTATAACTCTGTTTTTATTCTTGATTCATTTCTTGTTGCAGACTGCAGTTTGGGTTCTGTCCTGTGTATGTCCTTAATGTATTACAGAGCTGACAAAACTGACTTTAAAAAATGATAATAATGTTGAACCGTGTTGTGTATCTGTATTGTTTGTGACCTGAGCAGCAGAATGATGAACTCGGACTGTATTTCCACACCTATAAAAGGGATCTGTTTTCCGGATACGTTTTTTTTTTGCTGTTGCTTCTTTTTAATACGCTCTGATATGTTGGACGCTGGACTGTGGATTGATGTGTAAATTTGTAACTTTGTTTTGTTTGTGTTTCTTGAGCTTCCCAATAAAATCTGACCCAGTAATTAAAACAAAGTGGAGTGCTGTGCTATGAATGTACATGAAGGAACTAATCTAAAGGTCCTTAAGGTAATATTTAAAAGACAAAAGGGGAAAAAACACTTCACCTGCAGTTTCAGTGACAGAGGGCCTAGAGCCTCTCCCACCTACCACAGGGCGAGAGGCCCTACACCTTGGACAGGTCGCCAGTCTGTCGCAGTGCTAACACAGACAGACAACCATTCACACTCACATTGACACCTAAGAGCAAATTAGATTAGTTAACCTACGCTTCTTTTACACTTTGTGCAAATTCCTGCTGAAGCGTTTCCCCCATCCTATCTTTCCCCAGTTTTGCAGTGATGTGCTGACTCCAGCTTCTTTTAATGGAAATCCAAGGATCCCTTTTAGATTTGGGGATAGGGTGCATCTTGGCATCATTATTCCAAAATATTTCTGCTATTTGGAGTTGTGATGATGGAGAATTCTGTGCAAAATGTCCATAATTCTTCAGCTGGGTTAAGATCTGGTGACTTGGAAGCCCAAACAATCTGATTAGAATGACTGTTGTGCTGTTCATACCATTTGGTGAGCACTACTGCCCTAAAAATATAATTTTACACACACACACACACACACACACACACACACACACACACACACACACACACACACACACACACACACACACACACACACACACAGCATAACACAGCCACTGGTTCTGTTTACTGTACAGTCAATAAAAAAATCTCATCTTGTCAGATGAGGCTTAGTTGGTTGATGCACATTCAGTTTATAGCAAACACATTTCCTTAATGATTAATTATCTAAATAAATATTTGATTTTATAATTTTGCACATTTCAGTTGAATTTTACTCAAAGTTTTCTCTTCTACGTGTTTGTAGTTAGGAAATCTCTGCACACTAACAATGAAGGCAGCATTTCCCACCATTGTGTGTGCTGTTGTTTACTTGGAGGTAGAAGTGCGAAAACAGCTTTTTGTTCAATGTTAGGTTCACAGGTGTGCCAGCAGATGGCGCTAGAGCGCTTTGACGGCTCCACATCACGATCACTGTGGATCATTTACTGGACACGAGGAAAAAGTCTGATCTGGTCTTTACTAATGTTTCTGCAGCTGTTGCATAATAAACCAATTACTGTTGGACCAGATGTGCTTGTAATGACAGTTTTTAAACAAATAAAATATTTTATGGCTTAAGTTATGTTTCTAGGCTTGTTTTTCCCCCATGACACAGAAACTGTGCACGACAAGCCAAAGACATTTTATTTAAATCTTTTTTTTCCAGTTTTGAAGTTTGAATTTCCATCTGAATTTGCTTTTTAACTGTTTCAAAATATTTAGTTTGACGATCAGACTTCAACTCAAATGCTCCATTATTCTCTGGTGGGTAAAATTCTCTGCTTATTTACTAAGTAAAAGCAGCCTCGAAAACGCATAATATAAATGCGCTGTTACAAGCATCCAAAATGACAAACGTTCAAATATAAAGTTCCTCGGTACTCAGAAAAGTGTTCTTGATGTTTGAACCTTACTGTGCAGAACGTTACATGCTCACAGTTTAACAATCTCACTTTAACACCTCAGACTCATATTTACATTGTATCCACTATTTATCCACTTGTGCAATGAAAATAATTGAAGGTTTAACTGATGAACAGATATGTGTGCCATCTAATGAATTTCTGGCTTTGTATGGATTTTTCCCCCCAAAGAAATCCAGTACTTATAGTACCACAAATTTTAAAACTGGGGGAAAAATGACATCCTAAAACCACTGTTATACTGAGCCCAAGCACTTAATTCAAGTAAATAACTAAAGTAGTGAAATTCATTCGGGGGTCCTTGGCTGTGTAGCACTGACTCAAGGGGAACTGACTGCTCTTTAGCAGTCTCTATTAATGACCAATGTTAAAATAATGTTCAGTCAAAATATTTACCTTTCAGCTTTAATGAATTAAAAGTTGCACACGGACCTGAAATACTCATGTAAATACATTTGCCGCAAAACTGTTCATAATGTAATAAAGACACTGACAGCTGACTGACTGAGAATTGGGGTCTAAAACACGCAAAACTAGCTCAACAAAATGTGAGCAACGACAAAGAACAAAGTGAGAAACTGCAAAAAAAGACACAACGAAAACACAACAGATGAAAAGAAATTCAAACATGCAAAACGGCTACAAAATACAAACATAATTTCATATCGTTTTCAATCATTCATATTCATATTATGATTGTAAGATGATGCCGTTTGACTTCAGATAAAGACGCAAAAAACCCTACAAAATGACTCAAAATGAGCACAAAGACACAAATGACATCACAAGTGTAAAATGACTGTACACATAAAACAACTACAACTAGATACAGCATCTTGGAAAACACACAACATGACCACAAATAGCTCCAAAACAAGACAAACAAACAAACAAACAAAAACCCTAACGTAATAATAATAATGATAAAAACACTACTGCCAAGAGACAAAAACCTTTAAAGAGACTCAAAATGTCCACAGTGACACTAAATAACTGCAGGTGCAAAAAAATGACTACCAAGACACACAATCAACTACAAAAACACAAAATGACCGCAAAGACACGCACACATATTACGCACAGCTAAAGATGACAAATGAATATAAATACAATATATATATATATATATAAAGTCTGACAGAGTGAGCCCCGTAATCCGTCCATTTGGGCTGAGGTGTGTGTGTGTGTGTGTGTGTGTGTGTGTGTGTGTGTGTGTG